CATCGACCATGCGTCCCGATGTATGCGATGCATTTTGCAGCGCGCTCAACAGCGGCCCGTGGAATGTTCGCTAATCGCGTAGAACGACATCGATCGAATTAATCTGTTTCGCGTTTATTAATAATGTCGCAACGCACGACGCGCTCGCCCAGTTCGAAATAAACCGGTCACGTTCGGTGCGGTGCGGCGTCGTCGGAGTCGCGTCGTGCCTGATAGGAAACAATTCTGGGGGTAACATCGAGCGATCGACATTTCGCTGCTGCCTACGGCCATTAATTAACACATCGCGACTGGCTGATTAACATATTATCGCGGCAAGACAGCCGTTGGTGTCGGAAGCAAAGCCGTCTTGGTTGTAAGCACGGAAGCGGTGAGATTGCGTTGCCTGGGAGGAGAAGCTGAAGGTGGAGGTGGAGGATGAAGGGGGAGGAGAAGAGGTTGAAGGAATGGTACGAGAAAGCAAAGGAAAGGAGGAAGTAGGAGTCTGAATGCTGAGATTCAGCCTTTCAGAAACGAACAATAATGGCATGGTGGTGGTGGGGATAAGGGTGGCAGGGAAATGGCAGGGATGGCGGAGCCAGCGCTGGAGAATCCCTCCAGGCACGTTCGACTATTAACCCCGCCGAGATTCGGAAACGCTCGGCGACTGAAACCACCGTCTCTACATCCAACCCCTTCTAGGACGTTTGAACGAGACTTCTACCCAGCCGCAGTGTCACCGTAACAAGGGTGAACTCAATCCTCGAACAGGCAGATACTACCGGGGGACCCTGAATCAGTCTTCTCCGCCTTCATCTCGCCCGTTTCGTTCCATCTCTATTTTTCTGACCCCGGCGAGTTGGCATGATTAAAACAAAATCGCCATCGTTGCCTTCGTCACGGCTACGATTTTCAGGCAACGGTGGTCTAGCGATTTACGAACGAAACGCAGTCGAGCACGTAGCAACGTCTGGAACGTTTAGATCGCCTCGGTCTCCTTTGTCCCTGAACAGAACCATCGATAACGTCACCGGGAATGGTAAAGGCGTTCGAGTATACGGGTTTCGAGATTAAAGAAGAGACATCGTGGTCTCGAAGCAACGCGTTTCAAAGTTTCATAAGTCGTCTCTTCGACGAGAGAAAAAGAGTTGCTTCCGGTTGGAGAGCGAGATCGATCAAGCAAACCACCGGAACAGGATCTCGTTAAGGATAGAATCGTCGAAACGATTTTTCAGCGTAACAACTCACTCGGCTGCTTGCTACGATTTTAAACCGGAGCCTATCGTTCTAAGAGTGCTGAAGTTTCCCAGATGTAGATAGTAAATAATTAGACGCCAGGATAAATAAATTACTCTAATGGATTCGTGGCATGTACCGTCGACGGAAGATCGGGCACATGATTTCTAAGACGGTTTATTAATGATAGCCGGATGTCGTATCATTGTATATTCATTTCTGCGTTCATTCTATCGCGTCTTCTCCATGGAGTTAGATAAAAGTGGGAAACGCCGCGAAACAATTTGTTATCAAGCGCAGCGATACCACCGCGAAATATATCTTTACGACATAAATAGCCATGTGTACCTTCCCTCCATGTATAAATCACTCCGTGACGGTTTTAAGACTGATTCGTGAATAATTGTCGTATTTTTGAGAGGCTTATATCTCGGTGATATTTCAGAAATCTCTTTATCACGCTGTTGTGTCGCGTCGCCGCAATTGCTATTCTTTTCGTACACGCGTGCACTGGTCAATATTCAAACGTTTTCCGTATATAACAATGCGGACGTTTTTATGCAGCAGTGATATCTGCAGTGACCCAGAAAGATATCGAATGATACACGTTTTCGTACGATATCGAAAGTCATTGGAAATTTATGCATCGACTGTGTGTGAAATTCCCGTTATCGTGTACGATCGAGTACAGCCACGACGTTGATTGAGAAATCGTATGAGCGAATAGTAAATAACGAGACCACGAACTTTACGCAGTTCTGATAGAGGTTCGTATTCGTAAGATCATGTTGCAGACTCAATGGGCGCCATTGGCGATACCCATATTTCAGACTTAGCGTATTATCGGGGTATTACGTGTACAAGCATGTTACTGCTATCTACAGGTACCTACATATGGATATTTACGGGTATGTGTGTCCCTAGATGAGGTTCGTATTCCCATTATCTCTAGGCGAAGTTCAAAAGTTCAACAATACGGAAGGAAAGGTTTTATCCTATTCCTATTTCCATTTGCAAATAACTCACAACGAAAGATCGTAATTCACATATAGCATTGTTTGCGACACTAACTTTTATTGAACAAATTTTAACAATCATATACACAGAGAATATCATAGCGACGTTTCTCATTACATTATATATATATGTCGTATACAAGTACTAAAAATCTGAACAAGTATGGCCCATCTATGGGAACGTTGGTCGCGTAACGCTCTTAAGGTGATTGAACAGTTCAAGTTGGGACATCGTTGTAGACGCGTTATCGACGATTGAGCGGCATTTACCTCTCGAATTTACTAGCTGTATCCGCGGTGTAACAGTCTCGTAACTCAGCACAAACGTTTGGATGTTGGGTGCGAAGTCGTTTCGAAACTTCTCCGAACGCCACTGTGCCGGAATACATATTTCGAGTCAGTTGCTTTTCCTTTCTCCGCCAGCCGTTCCATTCACTTTTCTTCGTATTCGCGGACTGGCAGCGTCAGCTTTCCACGCGAGGTTACGTTTAGAGTTCGGCCAAGTTGGAATTTACCGTATGCTTACGCGAACAACGGCGCATCTAGCTGCGCGGCGTCGAGCACGTTTCCACTATGGTGAGCGAAGGAGACAAATGGGACGAGTCACCGGCGAACGCGTCGATGAAAGCGAGACGGAGCGAAAAGAGACCGCCACGCCACCGACATGGCGAACCGGGTCGCCGGAGGGGTCGCGCAGTATGTAGGCTAGTTGGTAAAGGCAAACCCGAACAATTTGCCGTAATAATCCGATAACTGATAATACTGGCAATTTGGTTGTAGCTAAACGGATCTCGCGGCGTTGCGTTGCGTGCGTTATCTCGATTATTGTTATTGTTCCTACTCGATGATCGCTGAAGCTCGCGAGTTGACGAATTCACTGCGTCGCGTATCGATATGCCGAGTCTATTCTGTGCCTTTCCTTCCACGTTTTCTTGATAAGATAACGATAATGATCGATCGAATTTATCGTTATTTATTTATTTGCAGTAACACTGTTTCTTCAAATCATACGTGGATATTTACAAGTGCAACAATTAACATACTGATTCCACACGTGATGCGAGATAGTGAGATTTCAGGAAATACTTCGTGTGGGTATATGTATTAGGTTATTCTATAAATAACGCGGCTTTTTCATTTACGTAGATTAGGTGAAAATAAACAACTATCTGTTGGTAATTAATCAGTGACCTTCCTCCCCCTTCTCTTTTATAATCGTTTGTTATCTTCGTACTGAGTTTTCCGTTCTATTTTTGGTAAAACTCTTATCGTGATGAATTCCATTGTTTTAAATTCAGCTTTCGGAAGGTGTTATTTATGGAATGACATAATATAAATCTGTAGTATTTATGGAAGATACGCGCCAGCTTAATTAATGCAATTCAACACAATTCTGGTCTTTACAACTTCCAGATGTAACCAAATCTCTCGAGGATCTAAACTTTCGTCTCAAATCCCATTCAGTTTCTTTGCTCTTTCGACTTTAATCTTGCCTTGTGTTTTTCTTGACATACGGACGATAAGTTTAATCATAGTACTTGTGTAAGATTCCTATTCCAAATTTCAAATATATTTTGTATTACTTAAAAGCTACCATTTAATGATTAGTCTCTAATCCGGATGATATGTCAAGTGTCATACACTACGTTATGCTATGATCAATCGCAGATTTCGGTAACAAAATGTGAAATATGATCGACGGTAAAAGTGAGAAAGTTCTTCAGCTTTAAGTTGGAAACGCAACTCGAATTCGACGTAGGACCGAAAAGACCCGTGTCACTTTAACCGAGCGAGTCAAAGAGGGCTGGAACGTGGACGAATCGCTACTCGGAAGACTCTTGAACCGACGTCAAGCGGCGAAACGCGCTTGCTAAGTTTCTCGGAAGTGGTTTTAGGACTGATTGATTTCTCACATCGAATCGTCGATACCGACTCTGAAAGCGGAATCGGAGGAACGCGAAAAAGGGACAGACAGTGGAGTAGACGCAGATGGTGCAACGTAGAAGGTAAAGGCAATGGGACAAGAACAGAGAGCAAATCTGAAATTCCATGGGTTAACCACGGAAAACCGTTGACTGTATCGAGAACAACAATTCGATTGATTTATCGTGGTTTACGTTAATTAATCGATGCGAACGTTCGTGAATCGCAACGTCGTCCTCCGGTACTGCTCGTGCTTACGTTACATCGACTGATTTTGCGACAATATCATCGGCCGTTGGCTTTGTTCTCTTTTGTTCCATCATAGAGCGTTCATCCGCTTATTTGTTTCATCTTATCCAATAGAACAAAATGCTACAGAATTACACGCGAACTGTCGATTAACCTGCTTTACCCTATACTATCGAAGCGTATTAATCGTAAAATTTCATTGTAAATAGAATCCATCTGTACATTATCGGATTTAAATGTAACTTATAGCATCGGAAACTAATTGCGAATTATATCCAGTATTTAATGTTCTATAGCGAGAATTTCATTTTCGTAGAAGAAGAAAGAAATTACGTCGAAGCGGTCCGTGAGAAAGCGCAGTATCTAAGTGCTGAATTGTAACACGTATAGTTCGAAAGAAAAGATAAAGGAGGAAGAAGAGAATGTAAGGCATGGGGTTAATTCCCCGATCGATTAGGTCGTTTTTACAGCGTTAGCTTAGGCATCGTAAATTTACCGATTCTCCATGTATGAAAGACCATATACACGCGCGTCGCATACAAGATCCGATGTTCGATCGTAGTTAAAAGAAGGTTAAAAAGATATCAGACGACTTACGATTTCGGCTCGTTATCTGTTTCACCTGCACAAGCAACGCAGGAGTAGCGAGTGTCAAGCATAAAGTAGAAGGAAGACTCTCGTCGGCTCGTACACCTGACGCAGGCGCGGAATACTCCATCCCTCTCCCTTGGACTGTTTATGCCCTCTGCACCCCCAGCCACCCCTTATCGCTATGGGGAACCGACGAAGACGGCGGACACGTTGAACGGAGAGGAGTCGAGTCGAGTTTCGGGGTTTGGGGTCGGCTGACAGTCGTACCGTGCTTCAGTCGGCCGGCGAACTCGCGTGCCGAGCCTTCGTCCCGGTGACGTTCCTCGTCGTCGACGGCGACAACTGCGTCCTGTACCTCGATCAGTTAGCCGACACGATGCAAACGACATTCCCTCGACGAGGACGCACATTTTTTTACGCCTGTCGGGTATCGTAAAGTTCGCGTCAACGTCGCGTCGCTGTCCGCGATTCATTCGTTCGTAAAGACAGTTTCGTTTAAAAGTTTCCTTGCGAAGTAGAAACGATCGTTCGTACGCTCGATTTTCTCAATCACCGGTAGACGTTCGAACAGAAAGCGCATTTCCGATCATGAGGATGCCTAACGAAAGGGTGGCCAAGATTACGATAGATTAAATATGACTATCGTGGACGAAGGCACGAAGGATTTTATACCGGATCATACGAAAACTTTATCAGTGTACAGTGGATGAAGTGACGTTCGATGGAGTGTATGTGTAGTGCGTAGAACTTAGCAAACGAAGAACCCTCGAAATCGTTACCACTCGAACTCGTTGCAACGTCTGGAAAGCGCCAGGAAAGAAAATCCATTAACTTCTTCTGTATTCGGTGCTCGGTGAGATCCGTTCAATTTTCTTCATTAATAACCCAGTGAGTGTCCGGTGGCCGAAGTTCCGTGAAACTTTTTCCGCCATGTACGATCCTACGCTCGCGATCCATTAAAGTCCATTAAGCGTCTGCTCTTGGCACTGCCGGAAGTTGGAAAAATCTCCGCGGAGGCTTGCTGGCAATTCTCTTCGCGAGAAACATCGACACATTCATAACCGAACGTATTTGTCGTATCCTTACGCAGAGGCGACGATCCATCGTTGGCATGTGTATACAAACCGGTGGGAAATATTACGTCGCAGAATTCGGTGAGCTTTATGAGCGGGATGGGTCGATAGCAGACTCGTGATAGCTATCGTTTAGCCGATGGTATTGTTCGGCAGAGATATCGCGTTCGACTATGAGAGCCTAAGGAAATCGAAAGAGGGAATCGAATGGCCTGTCTCAGCTACCGTGTAATCCAACGTTAACGAGGAAAGGAAAGTAAGGGTCCTGCAGGATCGGTGAAACGTGTCTGTCAGTGAAAGGACCGGTAGCGGGTCTTTTATTTTTCGTCGACTTCGTCCTTGGAGAGTGAAGTGTCGTAGAAACGAGAGGGGAGGATTACAAAAGAAGAAGGACAACGCGTGTTAATTAAAGAGCAGCAGAGACCAGAGAGAAACGAACAGCCAGCCTGACAGGTAAATATTTACCGACGCCGCGGCACAGTAAAATCGCAATTTCAGAGCGCGCGTTTTTCTTTCTCTCTGTTCTTCTTCTATTCATTGCAACGTTGAACGAACGTTGAACAACGGGGGCGAGTATGTACCAAAACGAGTACAGCCAAAAGGACGATCAAAAGACGATACAGGACGATCGAGTTCTCGTATATGGATTCATCTTGGCGTCCTAGTCGCATTGTTGTGTTTCATATACAAACGGAGTGTAGAATTTTATGTGAATGATACGCGTGAATAGATTTCGTTCGTTCTTAGTTATTAGGAGGGGGGTGGGGATACCAATGCCTTCCTGACCGCTCCTTTCATCGCGTACGAATTTTTGAATTTTTATTCTACTTTTTTTGTGATCATCTTTCTTTCACGTGAAATTGGATTTTTTAATAATTTATTCGTGCCTCTCGTTCTTCACAGAAATAGTTTCTTTCTAATACATAAGTTAGACTCGAATCGTTTTGTTTCCTGACAAAAATACGTTTGATATTTCCATCGATGTCAGACTGTAAGAAGGTGAAAGCGAGAAGTAGAAGGCGTCGGTAAAAGGGAGCCGAAACTTGATTTTTTTCTCAATTTAGGCTGATACCGTGCGACAAGGGAGAATAGGGTCTACGTGCGAACACGTAGCGTTACGCCGCACACGACACTCGAACATTTTACGTCCTACTGAATTAGAATCACGGGAAGTCACGTGACCGGATGCGTTCTACACGAGTAATCGATCTGCCAGCTGCCATAATTCTTGCCTACTTCACGTTCGCTACGATTTCTACATATGCACTGGCCCTTCCTACACCGTGAATCGTTCCCGTGGATCGCTCTACACGCGGCGTTTTCAAACTCCAAACTACATTTCGATAAATTAACGTCATCGTTGACACAACCTTTCAGTAGCGTGTAATAAAAATCACTGGAATTTTTTCCGTTTGTGCTTCGACGAGATCAGATTAAAACACGATCGGTCGAATCCTCGCCGTTCATCGATGTTTTATACGCGTCAATTTAATGCTTCGTTAATACGGTCTGCTGACATATTTTATAGCGGTGCGATTGACTGACGGCACAACATTCGACTGCCCGGTCACGAACGTGATAGACGTGATCGGAGTTTTACGGTCAGTTCTGATATCGGTGAACCTCCCGGGTAATGCAACCTGGTTGTATGCTGTAAAGATCAAGATCGCGGTGGATTATTCCGATACGTTCCGCTCGTATCGCGACCGCTATTTCCACTTTGTAGGTGGTTTAACAGAAACTGACTGGAATCGCAACGATCTGTCGGAGATTTTTTTTTATGAAAGATACGAAACGCCTTCGTTATTGGAATCTTAATTGGGTTTCACGGAAAATTTGTTTGCGGTCTGACTGAACGCGAATGCGAACGCAGAGTCTACGACCGATCGATAATAATCGTGCAGGTGATTTCTATCGAGTCGCCGACGGAATGTTCGAGGTTCCAGCTATCTCGTGGTAATTCCGCGAGCATTAACAGTCTTAATCGCGTGAAAGTTTACCCGGAAGTTCGGTGTATCTGTTTAAGTTGGCGCGTTATCGGAGAAATCGATTGGCAAGCCAGGCCTGTTGTAACGATGGCGCTTGAGATAAAATTCTGTTTGGACGAGTAACTCCGAACGGAACCGTAACGAGGCTGTCTCCGCACGTCGTGACGGTTTTACGGCACTCGCGCTAAACTAGTCTTGTCGAGGACTTCCTCGATGTTTCCCCTGGTCTGCTATCGGCAGCAACGATAACAACGGCCGTCTAATTGGATGGAATATCCAATGGAAGATATTAATAATTAAATGATCATGGCTGTTGCGTGTAACATAACAAATATTAGACGACGATACAGTATCGTTTTCACATGAGTTGAAATACACCGGAAATTATTAGTTGGCGTTATGATTATGTGGGAAATTAGCAAAGAGTCCGTGGTCTTGTATCATTGTAAACAGGAAAATATTATATCCGCGGCTATTATCGTATTGGTATTATTGGAAACTGTATCGGTTAGCTTTAATCCTTTGTTACGTTAATACGGATGATTTTCCGTGTTAGATAAATGAATTGTCTCTTTTTTCTTTTTAATTGGTATATACGATCGAGGCTGGTTTACGATAACGCGCTAGTTAACGAAGAAGGTGGAAGGAAAACGGATCCGTATGGGATCTGCTGCGCGGCCAGTAGTAGTATCAACGACTCAGCGGACATGGGTTTCCGTACCCGACAGGTGATTAATTATCCCGTGGCAGCGTGAAGGTTTTGTTCCCCATTAACATCAGAGACGCGTACGCGCCTTTCTCTGTAAAGATTCGATGTTCGCTGTTTCTCAAAATTTATGTAATTTCCAAACAAATAATATCTTTAATAGGATATCGAACAGAATTTTATTAGTACTATAATTATAATTACGAGGTTGGAGAGTTTGAAAATAAAGAAAGTTATAAACAAAGAACGATGGCCCCGATATGCGTGCATACGAGAATATTGGAATATTAAAGTTCGATTAATTACTTTATGAATACAGATATTCGTTTTAAATGAATTTATTTTCAAGGAATCACATACTGAAATATTATGGATAGAAATTTGCTTTTGTTCGCCTTTCGAGTTTTAAAATGTTGTATTACGTTACGCTGAGAGTATATTGTATGCGAAATTAGAATTTATGTTACTCTGCATCGGTATCATCTTTCTCGTTTGAAAGGATTGGAAGAATATCGAGTGGGAAATTAAATTCTTAACGAAGTATATGTTATAAAGCAACGGCATTGTGGCATTTTCTTTATTGTCTCTGTCTTTTCTCAGTGTCCGTTGTTCACGAAAATTCTAATTGCAGAAATTAACGAAAAACGTATCGTGAAGTGTACAATGTTACGTCGACATTGCATGTTCTACATTTTATATTACAACGCGTGTATTATTATCGCAGAAAATTTCACGTGTTAAATGTTTAAGCATAATTCCCTTTCAATTTTGTTAGCAAATTACGAATAAAAATTAATCGAATCATTAATCGAATTATGAACCGTGATATACATTTACAGCGAAACGAAATTCAAAAGCGATAGAAAATCGTAGCGCAAGGGAATTTGCATTTTATCATAGAAGATGCGTCTCGAGCTTCGCCGAGTTTTCGTTGAACAATTAATTCGTTTCACAGTCACGTTCGTTGCGTCACTCTGTTAATTAAAAGACCGTTAACTTTCCCAAGTTGCTCTGGCCGTTTTGTTTTATTTTCGATATTCGACAACGTAACGTCGGCCTCGTTCTGTTTACGAGCGAGAAGTTCTTGGCAACCCGTACTCGAGGAATTATTCAGCCCAAGAAACAGAAGTCACGGTAGTTATCCGCGGTACTCGTTAACAACAACTTGTAAGTTCGGACAATTATTCAGCGGAGTAATTGGACCACCCGAAATCCCTGGGTCACGTACTTTTAGCTTTGACTTGCAGGCAAGAAAATAATTTTGTTTGCTACGTTTTCTTCTACGTTTCGTTTTTGAATTTAGTTGAAATCTACTTTTTATTTTTATAAATCAGCAATCAGACGTTCGCCAAGCTTGCGAGCTTGGAATAATAACAAATAAACTTAACGGGAAGCTACGTGTATAGCGCTCGACAGACAGATGCGGCTGTTGCGAAACTTTTGGTTCACGTCGAGATTTCCAACGAAATAATGATCTTTTGTTTCACGGAGCAACATTTCCACTAGTACTGTTCGAAAGGATAAATAATACCGTCGTGGAATGTCGTCCTTTATATATTTCCTTCGGTATACTAGTACCTTTCGCGATGTTATTCTCAGAATAAATTGATTAAGCTCGCGAATAACTTTACGCAGGAGTGTATATTGTATTTTAAATCCTCCGATATAACCAGATTTCGGATTGTCGATGTTCTATGGTGAACATACGTGCGATGAATTGATATCATTATGTATCTTCATTAATCACGGGCTATCCGACAGCCTCGATTTCGCTCGGATGGATAATCGACGAATAGAGGATGTTCAAGAATGACTAGTATCTCAAAAGTGCGACGATGTAAACGTTTAATCGATATTTCGAACCTGTCGATATAGCCGTGTACGAATCTGCACACGCGATAAAGATAATTCTGTCACACGTTATTACGCGTTGTTACAAATTATTATCTGTAATAATAAAATTGTTGCATCATGAAACTGATATCTCGTCTAATCGGAAAATTTCACATTACACGTTGTACACGAAGAACGCTATTTGCAAAGTTATACAAACGCTTGTTTACTCATTTAGTAGCGTTTGAACTAAGAAGAAATCGGGGAGAATTTGAATAAATTTTCTCGTTGAAAGTTTATGTGTCCAAAAAATGAGAAAGACAACAAAAAGTGAAGCGAGAGAAAGAGAGAGGAGATGAGGAAGTAAGTAGAGTACACATTTGCAGCATTAATACCATAAGTAATGGTTTATCGAACTCCGGCGGTACTTTTCCGTAACTCTGTTTGTTCGGAAACATTGGCGGTCGTTGATTAAGTTCTCGTTAAAACTTTTCTTTGATCTTATTTATTTCACTCGACTAACTCACGCCGTTTGATATTCACTCCGTCAAACCGAAGTTAATAAGCATATAAAACGAGCACGTCGACGTCCAAAGGAATTTCATTTCCTGTGTTCACGTTTCCCCTTCATCTTCCTCTTTTTTTTCCGTTTGTGGAACACGGCGCATTTACTTATAACTACTTCAACGAAATAGTCTATGCGGTTCGTTGGTGAAACAGCGACGAGCGTGGAGAGGGCCGAGGAAGGAAGCACGAAATCGTTTCCCGTAATAAATCACCCTTCAGCATCGCGACGAAACATCAGACACGACGTAAAAACATCGAAATTCTTGGCTCGCTGTATTTCGGTTTGGATTAGGTTTCGTAGTCTCTGTTCGAGCTTTGTGTTACCGTTTCGAGACACGAACACGGCATATACATACAGA